TGGCTGGATCGAAGAATTCGCTCATTTTTCAGGGTTTTGGGAAAAATGGGGTTTTTGGGGATTTTGATGCATCGGATGGGTGCATGTTGAAATTGATATTGTTTTTGAGTTGTATGGAGTCCATGCATTGTATTTCTTGGTTTGCATATGGTTGGTTTTGCTGATTTTCAAGTGTTGGAAGAAATTTTCGAAGTGTTGGAGGCTGCTATTTGAGTTTGCGCTAGGCACAGTTCTTGGCACCGGGCGTGCTTTCATTAGAGGCACCCATTTCTCGATCATGCCGGGGGCGAGGTTATTCGCGCCGGGCATGATTGTAAATGGGGGGTGTCACGCTGGACGTGAGAAAAACCACGTCGGGTGCGATATTAGATAGTGAACCTATTTGTGTTTTTTTTACTGGCGTGGCGCCGGGCGCAAGGTTGATGCGCCTGGCACGGAGACCTCTGAAGGTCTCTATGTGGACGATGCTGGGCTCAGGTGAGCGCGCCGAGCGTGGAGAGACTCTTGATGGTCTTTATTTGGAGCACGTCGGGCGCATGGTGGGTGCGCCGGGCATGGAGACTCTTAGGAGTCTCTGTCTTAAGGACGTCGGGCGCGAGTTGAACGCGTCGGGCGTGGATGAGTTTTAGGACTCTCGGGTTGGGATTAGGTTGGGCGCGCTCAGGCTGCGCCGAGCGTGAACATGTTTATGAATGAAATGATGCTAATGCATGTTAAGTTGAAGTTTTGGATCATGTATGTATGATATATGATGTATGGTGAGGTGTGATTCATATGTATGCTTGGTAATGATATATGTGAATGTTTAAATATGATATGACATGAGTATATGTTCATATGAGTATGATTATTGATCCTGATGGTGGATTGACCATGTATGATGAATGATGTATTATTGCATGTGATGCCTTATGGCATGAGTATGATTATTAATCATGATGGTAGATTGATCATGTATGATGTATGATGCATTATTGCATGTGATGCGTTATGACATGAGTATGATTATTAATCATGATGGTAGATTGATCATGTATGATGTATGATGCATTATTGCATGTGATGCCTTATGGCATGTGTCTAGCGGAGAACTTGAGGAGAGGGAAATATTTTTGAACTAGAAGAGCTCACATAGAGTCTCTTGAGAGTGGTGCTTTGATAGGCCACTGATTATGAGAGTGGTGCTCAGGTAGGGCACTAGTTTGAGTGAGTCTCCTCTAAGTCCTTAGCTAGTGTTGGAGCAGAGTATGAGGTCGAGGGTTATTCCCTTAACCAAGTATTGGGGAAGGTGCGTGGTTCCTTGCGGATAGTCGGTGGGCGAACTCCACAAGTGACTTGGTAATGCATGCCAATGTCGTGGTAAGCCTGCACCCAGCTGTGCTATACCTGACGGTGGAACCGGACTTCCAATTGTGTAAGTGATATCATCCGAGTAAACTCGAGGGAGGATTTATATCCTGTTTAGCTGTGATCAAGCAAACGCATTTGGTGTGAAAATGGTTGGGTTGGTTTCATTAGGATTGGGATGTCACTTACACTACTCTGTTGTTAGGGAGATCTCCTAGGTGTATGCGTGACGACGTATTAGATGATTGATATGCATTGATATATGTAATGAGTTGAATGTATTGAATGATTGTTATGATGATGAAGTGTATGGTGTTTGACTTCATGTTTGATGAATGAATGATTGATTGAGATGGAAGTTTCTTTGGGACTTGATTTAGATATATGTGTAGTATAGATTTTATTCAGTACTTGTATGATTATTTTTTGAACTCTAACTTACCCTTCTGTTTCCATGTTGATGGACTGCGATGATCATACTTGGTATGGGAGCAGGTCAGGGATAGCTTGGAGTTGATGTGACCATTACGAGACGGAGAGTTCGGTCCTCATGTTAGAGTTACCATTTTGGGTAATAGTTTTATTTGTGCTTGACCGACACTAGGACGATATTATTTTTGGGATGATTGTACATATATGGTGTTCTATTTTGTATATAGAAACTTAGTTATCTTATTCTTATCTATACCTCTATGCATGAGTTATCTAACTTAATATTTCTCTTAGTTCACTAGTAGTAGTGTGATTTTACTAAGTGTAGAGATCAAGACGAGTCATAAAGTGGCACCGAAACTAACATAAAATCTCTTCTATGTGAATTAAAAAGTATATGGTATATTTCTTAATTAATAGTGTTAAAAGTTATCGAAATTCAAATAATTTATAATCAAACAATTAGATCATTACAAGAAATGTTAAATATAATAATATTTAAAATAATATTATTATAAATGTAATAAACATAGGTATAAATTTATTTGATATATATTTATACAAATTTAGTATTAACTTTGAATAAAATTCAATAATATATTTTAAATATATTTAACACTATAATTTATAGTTTTACACCTACACATTTTAACAATATATTAATATATATTATTATAACTATATAACAAGTAATTTTTTTTGTAGTAAAAATTATATTTATCTAAAAAATTAAATAACAACAAATAATAATAAATCTTCAAGTAGAACATTTCTTGTCAAATTTGATGTTTACACTATTGATATCAAAATTTATAATATTTATATTTATAGGTTGCATTTGCATTTGTATTTGTCTATCATTCTGTATAACTTTTCTTAAATCATTGAATAAATTATATTTTTAGTCCTTATTTAATTTGAGAATTCAATTTAGTTTCATTATTTTTAAAAAGTTAATTTAATTTAATCCATTAACTTTTAAAAAAATGTTTAATATTACTCTTACATTGAAATTGACATTCATGATTGACATTCATGATGTTAATGAAATAATATGAATGGATATCATTATATATTCTTTTTGAAAATTAGAAGACTAAATTAAACATTTATAAAAAAAATAGAATCAAATTGAATATTTTAAATTATTCAATTTGATCATCTAATTATCCTTTGATTGGATTTTATTAACATTATTAATGTCACTTTTGAATAAAAGATAACATTAAATATTTTTTAAAAATAAAAATAAATTAAATTAAATTTTAAAAATAAAAAAAAAATTTCAAGATATTGATAAATAATTGAAAAACTTGTGAAAATTGAGAGGAAAAGTTAGGTGTATTCTTGTGAGGGAAGTTATTCGGATGGAAGGTGGGGGATAAGAGGGAGTGAAAGTTGGTCGTATTTTATTGGCACTTGCAGTGTGAATATGAAATCGTCGCTTGTCGTTTTCATGTTTTCCCTATTCTTTTCTCCTATTTTCCCACGCCTTGCTAGTTGCTTCCTTCTTCTCCTTCTCCATTAATGCTTTACCCCTCCAACGTTTTGCCTCCTCTCACCTTGCATTACCATTATCACATTACACTCACTCATACATTTTTAACCAATTCTTTATAGAATTAATCACCTATACACTATTAGCATAAAACTTTACACTAGTAATCAATTATATCTTTTAATTATGTTATACCACTGTAAACACATTTACTTTTAACAGTGACATAACACAATTTAAAAATATAATTGGTTGTTAGTGTAAAAAAAATTTAGACTGACAGTATATAAATGATTAACTCTTATTTATGAGTTTTTTTTTTATCATAAATAAAATATATTAAGAAAGTTTATTTCAGTTAGATAAACTTGCATTATTATAAACTTGATAATATCAATTTTGATTCCAATTCTCTCACCTCGAAACTCCAACACCCATTTTTCTCTGCCACTCACATCTTCCCCAATCTTCATCTCAAACCTAAAATTTGTACTTTTTCTTACTTTGCTTCATTTTTCCATGTTAAATTTCAACCTCCTCAATTTTCTTTGGTCTCGACCCTCATTTTTTTTAACCTCCCTCCTCTGTCCCAACTCCAATATTTTACTTTTAATTTAATTAAAATAACATGATGTGATGTGGGTGTAAATTACTAGTTTTAATCAACCTTGAGAATAAAATCCTGAATATAATTTATGACTCCCAGAAATTGTTGAATTTGCTTGACAGTGAGATTTGCCTCATTCCATTTTCAATTTATAATGTAAGAGAATAGATTGTTTTATGGATTTTATTTTGATATATTATCAATTAATTATTATTTTTTACATTCTTAATCTATAGATATATTTTAATAATCATTCTTTTAATTTTTTCTTTTAGTAGATTATTATATTTTTTAAATATAAAAAGAAATTAATTTATATTTTTTTTAAATAACTTTCCATAACTTTAATATTTATTTATGTTTAATTATTAAAAATATGAAGTGGTTTGGTCTATCTAATAAATTATAACTCACTTTATATACCGTTATAATTTTAATGATTACAAAGTTAGTAATATTACTGTATATCATATTATATTTTATTACTGGGAAAGCATGTGAAGAATTTGTTTACAAATAAATTTTAATTAATTCATCGCATAAAATTTTGCAATACTTTGTTAAAGTCACGATCAGTCAAATGATATGGATAAATCGCGATGCAGAGTGCAATCATGAATAGTCAAGATGTGTTTTTGGTCAACGTGGATTTAATAAAGAGTAAAATTAGTTTGAAAGAAATGTATCTATTTAATTACTAGGAGAAAATAAAGTCCTCTGTTCAATAAAAAATAGGAATTGAAGTGAGGGTTAAAATTTCAGTTATAATATAAGAGTGCGATCAGTTACTTCATATAATAAAAGATCGTAAAAATGTCTTAAATGGGTGCTAAAAGAAATCCACAAGCTTCATATATCGTTCTAAATAACTATTTCTATATAAAAAAAAAATTGAATAAAGAAGGATAAAAAGAAAATAAAAAGGTATAAGAAAAAATATTAACGTTATTAAGAAAAATAAAAAAAATACTTACTACTGTAAAAATTTATCTTTAGCGTGCAGAACCTCATGTGAATATTCTTTTCTTAGTCCCCAAGCCAAGAAGATCGAGAAAGATTTTGCAAATTTTTAATTATTTATAAATATATTTGTTTTTGTCTGAGGCCTATAAATACTCCTGTCTAGTATTGGTATCGTCTACGTTATTTCTGTTGTGTCTTGTGACATTGTTTGTGTGCTTAGTATGGCAGATTTTGCTGATGTTACCCACGATGTTGTGTCCCTCCTCTCTTCTCCCCAAAGGGACTTTCTTCTCAGAAACAACGGCGATCAGGTACCACTTTCAAAACTCTTTTTCAAAATTTTTCCTTTTTGTTTTCTCAGCAAAGTGTCAGACATAAGGGGTCACTAACTTTTCTGTCTTTGTTTAAATGTTTCTGGTTTTATTATGGTATTTGGGAAACCCATTTTATCCAAAGTTTCACTAGATTCTGTTTTTATCGATCTTCCATGATCGATATGGCGTTTCTTTCTAGGTGGTGGTGATGAAGGGTAATGGATGTTTGATAGATTTTATGTGATATTTTGGCCTGAAATGGGTGACAGGTTTTGTAGTTTTTTGTTTTTGGGCATCTGTTGTTGACTCTACATGTTTTGTTTCTGCTGATACGAAAATTGTAATTGTTATGTATGATCAATTTATGTTCATGGCATGTGTGATGAAGAGCTAATGCTGAATCAAGCCAAAATGTGATTTTGGGTTAAGTTGAATTAAATCCTGTCTATTGTGTAGGGGTTGAAATGTGCTTATTTGATTAAAAAAAATATATATGAGGACTAATTTGAATGGAACTGTAATTGGTCATTCCATCCCTGATCAGAGGAAATATGATAAGGAATGGTGATTCCATTTTGTTTGAATTGGAGGTCATTCCAATGAACTCAGTGTGAGCTGAGTTTACCTATGGTTGGATGTAGTGTTTTATTGAAGGACAAAATTTAGCTATTATCTAATTAGAATCAGAGTTTTACTTCATTAATAAGTTGTCTTTTGTTGAATACTATAGCTCTAGTCAACTTTTTGAAGAGGTAGCTTTATTGATGAAGAAAAATCTTGTTCGTACAAACCGTTGGAAAATTGTGGTTTCATTTGTTATGTTGAAATTCACAGATTAAAATTGACAGCTTGAAGGGAAAGCAACTTGGTTTATATTTTTCGGCATCCTGGTGTGGTCCATGTCGAAGGTTCAGTCCAACTTTGGTGGAGGTGTACAATGAGGTTGCACCAAAAGGTGACTTTGAGGTCATTTTTGTCACAGCTGATGAAGATGATGAATCCTTTAGCAGTTACTTTTCCAAGATGCCATGGCTTGCAATCCCATTTTCTGATTCAGAGACTCGCAGTCGCCTTGAGGAATTGTTTCATGTGAGGGGGATTCCTCATCTTGCATTACTTGATGGCACTGGGAAAGTTGTCACTGAAGATGGAGTTGACATCATAAGCGAATTTGGTGTTGAAGGGTACCCCTTTACATCAACAAGGATCCAAGAGCTGAGAGATCAAGAAGAGGAATCTAGGAGGAACCAGTCTGTGAGAACTCTCTTGGTCTCTCGCTCTCCATCTCGTGACTTTGTTATATCACCCGATGGGAAAAAAGTAAGCTTGTAACTTCACTCTGTTTGTAGGAGATAGCAGTTTCCTTTAGTTAATGCTTGGTTTGTTTACCTCAAAATGTATTTCTTCGTATCTGAATTTGACTTTTCATTTCATTTACACACAGATACTTGTCTCTGAGCTTGAGGGCAAGACAGTTGGTCTGTATTTCTGTATGAATTTATACGGATCATGTAGTGACTTCACTCCACGGCTCGTGGAGGTTTATAACAAGCTTAAGGCCAAGGGGGAGAACTTTGAGGTTGTGTTGATTTCCCTAGAGGAAGATGAAGAATCATTCAAGGAAGGATTTGAAAGTGCACCTTGGTTATCCTTGCCTTTCAAGGACAAAATCTGTGGGAAGCTGGCTCGGTTCTTTGAGCTTTCAACCCTCCCCACATTGGTTATTATTGGTCCAGATGGGAAAACCCTTCATCCTAATGTTGCTGAAGCTATTGAGGATCATGGTATTGATGCATACCCATTCACTCCTGAAAAGTTTGCTGAGCTTGATGGAATAATGAAGGCCAAGGAGGCATCTCAAACCCTTGAGTCAATTTTGGTGTCTGGGGATCAAGATTATGTCATTGGGAAAGATGGGGTGAAGGTAAAAACTTTTATCAACCAAGTGCATTCACCATTTCCCTTCTTCATATGTAGCATTCCATCATCCATTTTTCTTTCATTCCTTTGTCTCTTTGTTGTGATATTAATAAGTTAGTACTCGTTCTCATTTCAGATTCCAGTGTCAGAATTGAAGGGGAAGGTCGTCCTCCTCTACTTCTCAGCTCACTGGTGTCCACCATGCCGCGCATTTCTTCCAAAACTTATTGATGCATACCATAAGATCAAGGCAAAGCAGAATGCATTAGAAGTGGTTTTCATCTCAAGCGACAAAGATCAAGCCTCCTTTGATGCATTCTTTGCAGGAATG